AAGTCTAAGGAATGCCTTTTTCACTCCTAGTTTAATGTGGGTGGAAATTATACTTGGGCTCCTCTCATACGGCATTGTGGAGAAAAGACATGTCAGACCTATTCCCTAACATTGTGCAGAGAAACCTTGAGCAAGCCACTCAATCTCTGCAACCTTCCTCATTCTCACCTGTACCCTCACAGAGTTTAATGTGTGCATGTGTAACCCTGAAGTGCAGAAATTGCTCATTCCCAACAACGGCACATACACGAAAAAAGAAGAAAAATGTTCCCGTTTGTATCTAGCACATTTTTCTGAAAGGCAATTCAAAATTGATTTCCTGAAAGAATATCCTACAAATCTACTATAAAAAAAGTTTCCTGACTGTCTTCTATACTTTCTTTTCTTTCTCTCCACCAGCAGCCCAAACTTGTGTTGTGGGTATTGACCTTCATATGGGATTGCCTCAAGGATGTTTTGTGCCAATGCCACTTTGAGAATGAAAGGCGGTGATGCTTCAGCCAGGCAATCTCTGAAGGAAGAAGGTGAAGAGGGATAAATTAATGCTTAAATGGACTTGTCAGTCATAGTCATCAGATTCAACTAGGGCTTAACTTATCACAGAGAATGGTTGTCCTGCCTGAAAAGTGGTCACATAATAAAAGGCATGTGGCAAGAGTTCTCAAGGCAGTGGAATTGGGTATAATTTTGAACCCAAACTACCATCACCACCAGGAGCAATTCTTGGAGACCCAGAAAAACTCCCTACAACAAAAATGTTATTAAGCCTCAACTATTAGTAGTATGGAGGATGAACAATCTTACTGTAAAACAGAATTTTTAAGAGTATGGAATCTGAAGCCTCCTTGCCTAAACTGGAATTTTTGTTCTACCACTGTCTACTTGTTCAGCAAGCATTTTCCCTCTTTTCTTCCTGGGTATAAGAGGTAAGTGAGTTCTCTCAGTATATAGAAATAGAGATAGAGATAAGGATGGATGTTGTTTTTTAGTCAGGAGTATGTGTGTGACTGAGCTCTGGCTTACATACTACTAGAGAAAGTACTGTACATTGCTTCTAATTCTGACCCATTAAGATGAAAGCTTCTAACATTTTGTCTACCTCTCTCTTCTGTTGTCTAGAAGGAACCTAGGGGACCTCAGAATGACTGGCTAGAGAGAGTCCAGGTATTTGAATGACCAATGTCCATTACTGGCTGATGTGAGTACACATTAGACAAGGATGTGAAAAATAAATCAATTTCTAGAGTTAAGCCACTACTAGGAGGGGTTAGGCAGAGGATAGGCAGGTCATCTAGCCTGAGTGTGTGACCTACAGCAACTTCCTTGATATGGCAGAAAAAGAGAGGGCACAGAAATGGAGGGAGGAAGGGTGAACAAATGCAGTCATGGTATTCAATATATGCTCTGAAAAAATGAACTATGCAACTTGAAGCAGGGACAGGAGAGGGACACTGAGGGAAAGCAAAGGAAGGGTGGCACTGTCCAAGAAGAACTGTACTCACTATCTGACTTACGGCATTGTCACACCTCTGTGAAACTCCACGACTTAATAATAACATATATTTTTAAAAAGTTGATAAAAAACATGGTGACTATAAACTCTAAAAAAAAAAAGATTATGAGCAAAACTAGACATGTCTTAGGCTTCTATTGAGTGTACACTTTACCCAAAGTGACATGGATTACTCCTATAACACTGAACTAAATATGAAATCTCAAATGTGAAAATACGAAATCTCAATTGTGAAAATATAAAATCTCAAATGTGAAAAATGTTAGGCAGGAAGGTGCTGCGAAGAATGTAGGACAGAGAGACCTGGTCATTGGAAGGATTAGCGAGAGGGAGAGAGTCAGGAAGGCTTTCCTGCAAAGTCTTTGGAGTTGAATTCTAAAGGATCAAATGCTCCATGACTACACTCATAGGTGGAATCTAAAAATGTCAATTTCAAGGGAGTTGAGAGAAAAATGGTGGCCACTGATCACTGAAGACTGGAAGAGTAGTGGGGAAGAAGAGTAACGAAAAGTTGTTCAACAGAACACAAAAATGTCACAAGTTGGGTAGGAGAAGGAAGTTCTGGTGCCCTCTGACACCAATCTGTAGTATATTATTAACAATAATGCTGCTATAATCCTATGGCTTATGGTTTATAATATGGCTTATTGTTAATAATCCATAATATCATTTCAGAACAGATTTGAAAGATATAAAAATATTGGGATATCAAATTTGATTTGTTGAATAATCAGATCTATTTTCTTTACTACATTCATATCTGCCACCACCCTTAAATTTCTATCATTCTTTTTTATTTCAACACAAACCCAGTATGAAACACTCTGTAAAGCCAAGAAGTCTCAGCAGACTTTTAAGCTCTTTGGGAAATATCATGTTGCAACTCTCAGAGCTTTTTAAGTGGCCACTGGTGATTAAATTAAACTCGTTAATATCATCCTTGACGGGATTCTGTTTTCTGATTATGCCAAGAATTGTTTGACAGCCAACGTTCTTCACTTCTAATTTCCATACACAAATCAAAAGGATGGAACAGGTGGTATGATGATCTTCAAACAGAATGAAATTCCTATTGCTTATAACATTCCAGATATTAATTTTTCATATCCTATATGCATGACAGAACTAATGCTGAGCTAGATCTCCCACTGAGATCTGCTTCTTAGGTTTTCTTTGTATGAGATATCCTGTCCTGTCCTTTCTTTGTCCCAACTGTCTTAAAATCTCACTTTCTACTGATAAGTCTCCTTTTTCAAACAATAATGCTAGCTTCTCTTCAGACCCCATAACCCTATTCACAGAAATATTCACAGAATACTACTTGTTTGTTGAACACATCATCCTGTTTTCTGCATTTGTTTTTTCATGGATAGCTCTTTGAAGATATCTCTTATCTCTTACCTACCTGGGCAGATTTTATCCTTCTAGAACCTTCTTTGTGATTAAGTGCCATTGAACTAGTGATCACAAAGCACTAGTCTCTAGCACTAATCCATCTTTGAAGTCATATCCATCATATTGTTTACAATTCTTAAGGCAGTCTGCATCATTAGGCTGGAATCTATTATCTATTGTTTCTTATTTATCTTCATATTCTCTGTACCAAGATAATGCCTAGTAAGAAGTAGATGTTGAATTATGACATCGAACTCATCAATTTTTCAGTAATACTCACAAATATCATAAGGTCTTCTTAACTATGTGAGAAAGGTAGTCAGATGTCTCCAGTCCCTTATCTCTCACTTGTTATGTAAAGTTTAAAAAACTTTAAAAATATTATTTTCATTTCTAATCTGAAGAAATCCTGATGTGTACTCCAATGCTTTCTAACTTCTATAACCATGGTGAGAAGTATTGTTCTAAAACAATGATACTAGGGATGTTACTGACATGAAGAGGAGTGGTAGGATGCCTAACTACATTTTGCAATGCTTCTTTGAAACAAAACTCCAGTATATTATATACTTTACTAGTCCATCCATCCATCCATCATTGATCATCCATCCATTTATCCACGTGTGAATCTACCTGTTAATCTATCCACCTATCCATCCATGTATCCATTATCCAAATCCATCAATTTACCCATCCATCCATCTACCTAATTAAGATCCATCTATCAATCATTATAAAATGTTTAGATCTGCCTACACTGTATGAGACATTCTCTCAGGTGAGAAGCAAAGATAAAATCCTTATATTAACCAGAGTCCACTCTAGAAGTACTCAAAACACAATTACCTGTCTAAAAAAACTTTGAAAATCAACAATACCATCACGGCAAGCATTTAAAGTAAGCATGGTAACATCTAGCTTTCTCCTATTTTATTTTTACCTCCAGAAAACACTCATAGATCCCAATCTTCGAATTAGCATCGAATAACTCTTGTTTTATGTTTTCCATGGGGATTTTAACTAGATCTATATAGAAGTCTCATATATTAAATGTTCATGCAATATGGTTGTATTGGAATCCATGGGGATCCAAATTTAGGCTGTTCCAGAAGCTTCCAGAGTTACTCCCTTGCTTTGGATCAATCTCCCTAAGCTCATACATGTTGATGCATAGTATCTATTCTTTCATTTTTCTTCTCCTGTTTGCCCTTGAAGTTTAGTTGATTTTCTGCTGATAAAACATATGCCTATCTTGCATTCCTTGCAACTTTCTGACAACTACCATTTGGTTTATTTTTTCCTCAAAATTGGCAACCTATTTTTTTTTTAAGTCTGTCATCTCTTTCCATCCATCAGGTAAATCATGTTTACTGAATCAGTCATTCAGACTGGAGCAGAAAAGGCCAAGAATTCCTAGTCTGACTGAGTATAAGGCTGGACTGACCTGATTTATGTCCCCCTTTGGGAGACTGTTTTTCTTGGTTGTTTGCAATTGCTGGCATGTTTTTCTCTCTCATCACCTACCCTGCCTACTACCAAATCATTCCTTGTCGTTTCCAGAGCATCAAGAGTAGATTCTCTTTCACTTTTGCCATTCTTCGCAGGCTCAGTTACTTAGCTAACCTTTTTTTTTCTGCCCATATGTCAAAAGTGACAAATCTCTGTTCTGAAACTGATAGATGAGTCAGTAAGTGAGCTGCGTGGTGAGAGGGCTTTTCCTGGGACAGCTTGGTGAGTTGCTAGAGGAGGAGAAACCGGAGTGGCAAACTGAGATGAAAAAGAAACAAACAAAATAATCCTCTTTTGAATAAGGAAAGGTATGAGCCACTTTCCTGTCTGGGCCACAAAATAGAGGAGCCCAAGTCTCTGAATCACCATGGAGAAGATCCTTCAGCAGACACCGAAATGAAGCAGTGTCATTGTTAAGCCACTGAGATGTAGAAACTGTAAAGACACTAAACTTCCCCTGTCTGCATTGAAACTCAAGACTCTTAGGAAGAAGGGTAATAATACACAGTTTGTTCTAAAGGACAAGGTTCTTCCAGTCTGCATATTCTTTGTAAGGTGAGGGGCTTTATCGTGAAACACTCACTGATGGATCCTTTGCTGGCTGAAAGGGGCAGTGTAGCAGTCATTCTCCTCCAGGTCTGGCAGTGTCTCCTTGTCCAGCCTCATTGGCTTCTTAGGTAACCATCTCCGAAACCTGCTTATTTGTTTATCGATCCTGTGGTACAGGGAAGGCAAGATCAAAGGGTACAGCATGTCAGCATCACCCTAAAACACAGGAGAGACATCTCCACAGAGTCATAATAATGAGACCACACCCACCAGGTACCCCCTCTGTCTTCATGGTAGATCCCTTAGAGAGTTGAACCCCAGTGTTGTTTCAGTTTCACCAAGTGACCTCAGTATTGTCATCTGTGAAATAGCTGGCATGAGGTCATGACAATAAATGACAGGGCTGCATGGCTCTGAAAGGAACGCCCTTAAACAAAGTGGCGGAGGCCTTAACTCCTTATATTCTGTAGGTCCAGGGAATTCATTTCTGGTTTGGAAAACCTTTGAGGTTAGAACAGAGCTCTAGCCAGAATTAACTTTTGAGTGTGAAGCCAACAGCCTGCCCTACTGGACTGAGTATCCACAGTGAACCTGGATCTATGCTTTGCTTCCTGCCTCACACCTTTCTGGAGCAGCCTCTTAGTGGAAAACTGGATCTTTAGCTTTGACCATGGTTCTCAGGGTTCAGAGTACTCATGACACTGGTGATACTCTGTCCAGTGTGTACAGATTGTTTAGGCCAAGGGAAGCATCAATGGTGTTGGAGACATAGTTTAGAAGTTACATTTTCTTCATTAACTATGTCCTCATTCCCTCAGTCCTACTGACTTGTACACTTCTGGCTTCCAAATGACCAGGTCTCAACCATTGACCACAGCAAACCATTACAAGGACCAAAAACCATACTAGACGTTTTCATGACTATGCTACCACAGGTATGTGAGGTAGACTTGAACAAGTACCACACACCCATTTCACACATTGCAAAAGGGGGTCCTAACGGGTGATAATCCATCTCAAAGTTCCCTGGCACTTCGAAAGCCATGACCCAAATGCAGATTTTTGGATTACTGACTTTGGGGATCACAGTATAGCTGAAAATAGGGATTGTGTTGAAGATAAAGAAGAAACAAATTCTTCTGGAGAAGAAAACATCTCAAATGCTTTCTCAGTCTGTTATTAACTGAGAACACATAGAATTCAATCAGGTTTCATTCGTTCCAATTTAAAATGTACATGACAAAGTATTATTTTCAGTGAATGTGACAGCTAGTTTTACATTTCAATTTGACTGGACTAAAGGGTACCCAGATAGCTGGTAGGAATTTATTCTAGTTTTGTCTCTAAGCATGCTTCCAGAAGAGATTAGGATTTGAATGGGTAGACTGAGAAAAATGTTAGGGGTTACCAGTGTGGGGTAAACACCATTCAATATGTTAAGGGCATGAACAGAAGCAAATGGTGAAGGATGAATTTCCCTTCTATTTAAGCTGGGATTTATCTTCTCCTGCCCTTAATACATCAGTAGTACTAGTTCTCAGGCTTCAATACTTGGATTGAGACTTAGATCATTCCATATCGTAGCTCTCCTGCTTGTACGTTGTACCTCACAGACAGAATCTCTAGAATTGTCTCCATAGCTTCCATAATTGGTGAGTCAGTTATGTAAATCCTCACCTGAGCTGGAAGACCAGATATCCAGTGGAACTGATCTCTGAGGGCACGAGGTAGTGGATGTACCAACCCAAGCAGAGAACTTCTTCCACTTTTTTGGTCCTATACAATCCCTCAAATGGATTAGATATTGGGTATTTGTGATAGTCAACTTCTTTACTCATGTCTATCAATTCAACTGCTAATCTCTTCTGGAAACACTTTCTTAGATACAGCCCCAAATAACTATCTGGGCATTTCTAATTATCTGTGCATTCCTTAGCCCAGCCAATCTGACCTGATATAGAAAAATGATGGTAAGTGCCTTTGTTATCACTTCCTTTGTTCTCAGCATTATTCAAGCCTCAGAGGATCTTAATTCTACTTGGTAGTGGCTGTCCTTCTCAGAATCCCTGAAACTGCCAACTGGAAAGAATCTCACAGCTTCTACTCTACTCCACTCTACTCTCTCATCTTTAGATAGAGAGCAGCGAAGATTCTACTCAGGTTCATGAAGCCAGAAAATAACAGCAGATTGAAAGAGTCCAAAGCCCCAAGAAAGAGAAAAAGTTCTCTTCTACTCCATACTTTCCCTCCTTGGTCCTTCTCCCGCCCTCACCATCTTTTTAGAGATACTTAAAACATAGATGCTGGGCTTCAGAGAAGGAGCATGAAGCATGGCAGTGGTTAAGAACATAAACTCTGGGGACGGAGTAACTAGAATCTAATATTTGCAGTGGGACTTTGGGCAAGGCACCTAATTGCCATGCTTCAACTTTCCTCATCTGTAAAAAAGGAATGAAGAACACACTCAGATCACATAGTTGGGATAAAGAACTGATTAACACACACCTAAAATCTTAAAGGCAATGTCTCACATACAGTAAGTTCTGACTTTAGTTACTTAATTTTTCCCTTTCTCAAAAAATATAAAAATAAAAATTTGAGCCACCAGCTTTTTGTTTTAACATTTCCTTTTGCTTTTCAACTCAAATGTAGTTGTGTTTTCTCCACCCTGATCAGTTGTCTAAGTTCCATGATTTCATCTCTAAATGAACTCATAAGTTCTATTTTTCCATATTAAGCTGGTGGCCTTCCCTATAGCTCTTGGCATTATTTCATCTGATTGCCTTAAAACTCACTCAAGAAAGAGGACATTGGCCCAAAGGTTTTTTATAATAGAGCTTTTACCTCCCACACATCTCCAGTCTGCAGCACTAATCGGATTACATTTTGCAGAAACTGGGCTCTGCGTGCAATGACTATGAATTCAATCCAGCTGGGCACAGTGCTCAGCGTGGATAAAAAAACAAACACGGCTGTTAAAAAAAATTGAGCATAAGTACTCAGTGGGGATGAAGTGGCGGATTTTAGCAGCTAGCTGTGGCACCACAATTTGAATGATATTGTAGAAATGGTGAAGAGAGAGAATAGTGTAGTGAAAATGATTAATTGAAAAATGAAAGGGAAAAGCAGGAAGTAAGAAGGAAACAAGAGGAGAGGCTACTTGACGTGGCAAAAAAGACGCTGAGATTGTCACTGGAGTGCCTAGAACTTGCTTATCAGCACAGCCAGTTGCCTTCCTGGGCCTTGTTTTCCAGAGATACAAAATGGGGTAACAGTAATAAGTGCCATCATTTTCGGCATCATCTTCCTGACTGACAGCACAGCTGGCATATCATAAAAGACAGGGGGCAATGAAATGCTTTGAAGAAGCTGCCAGGTAAATAGCAAGTAATAGTAATAATTTCTCAAAGGCCACAGGGCCCTAATGTGAAAGTGACGGAAAGTAGACCTGAAGTTTTGAAAACACCATAGTGAAGAAAGACATTTTTTAGAAATCTTGAAAATAAAACTGCTGGGTTGGCTGACCTTCACTGGGGAACCAAAATGGATGGGGGAGAAGCATGATTCCTTCAGGCTCCATCACACCTGCCTGTCCATGAATGAGGCTTTTTACAGTGACAGACAGGCACACGCTCAGACACAGCCAGCAGCAGATTGTCCTCCCAAATACGTCCAGCCTCTAACACCTGGAACTTATGAATAGCACAAGGGATGGGAACACATTCTGGGTTATTTAGATGGGTCCTTATTTAGCCAGATAGGTCTTCTAAAAGCAAAGAGCTTTCGTTGATTGGGGTCAGGAGAAATGTGGCAAAAAGGAAGGTCAGAGAGATTGAGAGTAGGGAGCAAGGATTTGATCAGTTAGGCTATGGCTGGTTTTGAAGATGAGAAGATCAAGAAGCCAGGGAATGTAGTAGCTAGAAGCTGAGAACGGCTTTCAACCAAATAGCCAATATGTATACACAATGGAATTTTATTCATCTGTTATAAAGAATAACATTGTACCACTTGTAAAGAAATGGAAAGACCTGGAAAAATTTATGTTAAATAAGTAGGTCAGTCCCAGGGAGGCAAAGGATGCGTGTTTTCCCTATATGTGAAAGCTAGATTTAGCTCGTAAACCTGCAAGTAAATACCTTAGGTACAAAAGCACGTAAATGTATTAATTGAAATATGGTAGATTCAAGACAGAACTCAAACAGCGCAATTCCTTAGAAAGGCAAAGTCAAGAGTTCAAGAAAATAAACACCAGGAAGGCGACACCTGAAAAGAGTGGGTGATCAAGGGGGAAAGGGATACACGAATGAAGAGGGGAAGATGGGGAGGATGCAGTCAAGAGTTAATATATGCCCTAGAAAATTAAGGAGAGCAAGAGTCAGGGTGCATAAGGGAGGAATGTGTAAGAATGTTAAAATGGGTGACATATTGATCAGGATATATTATATTTATAAACTGATCTGTTCAATGGCAACTCCTCTGTATAGCTACTTGAAGATAACAACAACAACAATGATGAGCTGAAATAGTCCGCAAACAGAATGAACTCAGAAGCAAATTCTCTCCAAAAGTTTCCAGATTAGAGTTGACAAAAACCTTGATTGCAGCCTTGGAAGACTTTGAGCATGGAAATCAGTAAAGTCCTCTCCCCAGGACTTATGAATTACAGAAACAGGACAACCAACATGTGCTATTTTGTGCAGTTTAGTTTGTGGTAACATGTTCTGACTGAAACAGGCGACTGGCACAATTCTTAAAACAATCTTCTCCTATCTAAAGGATTGGCCATGTTTAGTCAAGCTCCCATGGTACTAAGTCTGCCAATGAACCAGTGTGTTACCACTTCTCAAATAAGAGACTCTAAGAACAACATCCTTCGTAGCGGGGACAGGATGAATGGGCGTACCTCTGGACTGCTCTCCACAAATACTTTCCTGTCTCTGTGTGTCATCATCAGATATGACTGAGGATCTCCTTCAACCACACAAAGAAGAAAACACATCACACAAAAGTCAGTAGGCTAGAAGGCATCAGTCCAGCTGGATTTTGGATTCTGATGCTGTATACCAGTATTACCCTAGACAAGGCTTTTATCCTGTTTTATGCCAGTAGGGGCTTGAACTCAGGCCTCATGTTCTCACTTACCCTTTTCACTTAAGACTGGAGATG